GTTTTTAACCGTGCGATTCGATATCGGGACACGGCACGACGCTCCGGCCGCCCTCCATTGCGTCATTACCGGGCTGCGCAGGCCGTCGGCCGGCGCACGGGAAGGGCCCGCCACACCGAGCCTCTAGCGTCATAACCGGGCTGCACAGGCTCTCAGACGTTGCACGCGACCCGCCACACCGGGCCTCTGGCCAGGCCGGGAGTGCGTCATTACCGGGCTGTACAGGCCCCCGGCCGTTGCACAAGACCCGCCACACCGGGCCTCTGACCAGGCCGGGAGAGCGTCATTGCCGGGCTGTACAGGCTCCCGGCCGTTGCACGAGACCCCCCACACCGGGCCTCTGGCCAGGCCGGGAGAGCGTCATTGCCGGGCTGTACAGGCTCCCGACCGTCGCACGAGACCCGCCACGCCGGGCTTCTGGCCAGGCCGGGAGAGCGTCATTACCGGGCTGTACAGGCCCCCGGCCGTCGCACGAGACCCGCCACACGGGCCTCTGGCGTCATAACCAGGCTGTGCAGGCCCCCGGCCTTCGCACAAGACCCGCCACGCCGGGCCTCTGGCCAGCCCGGGACGGCGACAGGCCAATATCTGCCGATCGCCAGCGTCGCGCGCTTCTGTTGGACGCGACGCAGACAAACACCCAGGTGCCAACGGCATCAGTCGGCACGTGCGCTTCTCCTCCAAGGTATACAGCGAGGTCGGACCGGCGACCAGCTGGCCAGCCAATGGGCCGCCCAGCTGGTCGCCAGCTCGCGTCGAGGAGCTGGCGACCAGCTGGGCGCCACTCCACTATCCAGTCCAGAGAAACGTGTTGGTTCTGCGCTATGTCTAGTATATCCCTGCAATGCTAGATGAAGCACAAACTTATTGGCGTGACCCTTTTGTACGCGCCATGCCTCAGTTTTTTTCTGTAACGCTGTAGTACCTAACCTAGGCTGAAGTTCAAATACCCTCAACCATTGAAACTGGGCATATATATATATATATATATATATATATATATATATATATATATATAGTCAATATTAGGCCTAGCACCACACATCTCATCATCCTGCAGGCGACGATTGTAACTGGATCTAGGCTCCAAACATCGAAAATTTCGCACGGCGTTCCTCCTTGGACTCTAGGATGAGGTGAGAAAGCCAAAACATAATTTTTGAGGAAGCTTGGTATGTTTCTTTTGTTTTCGATGAATACAACCGCAGAGTTTTTGCTCAAATTAAGTCTATCTGGCTAACTGCTTTTCAGGAAGAAAAATGGTCGCTTTCACCCTTTTCACCATCACAGCACATTAGTCTTAAGCTGATGTGCATTCGAGGAAAATTATTTCCCCAACAATCCAGTGAGGCCTGTTTCGTATGCGATGTCACCCGCCCTGCCGGAGCCACTCCTCGTCCTGAACCCGTCCTGCCGGAGCCACTCCTCGTCCCGACCCCATCCTGCCGGAGTCACTCCTCGTCCCGATCCCGTCCTGCCGGAGCCACTCCTCGTCCCGGCCCCGTCCTGCTGGAGCCCCCTCCCCCCCACCCCTGGTCTGGACCGGTCCCGTGAACCCGCCTCACGGCCTACCAGGATATCAGTGAGGTGGTCTTAACAGAGTTCTCGTTCTTGTCCTAAAAGAATCGTCTTTTGTAGAGTCACGACTTGACGAATGTTGTATCACCGATGACTGCCATTGTTTTTGTATCATGTTTCGCCAACGGAGGGTCACTAGAATACAGCCGCGATCTTGTTTGTGCAAGAAATAAACTTGTCATCGGTACATAAATCATGACTTATTTTTATCTGGGGAGAGTTCAAGACGTACACCTCATAAATGGTATTTTGGCATAGATCTGTTTGTTTTACAGTCTATTTATTTCATCTTTCTACGCCTTCTTGGCGAACCACTTATTGAATTCCTATCTAAAACGTACAGCACAATCGGGAGATCTCATTCAGAGTTCCGGGTGTCCGTTCTTACGGGAAAGGAGAGCTACTTTTAGCACGACTACTTTGACACGACTGGAAAGCAGAACATATATACTCGGTCATCCGCGTTTGTGATACAATGGGGCTGCTTTCCCAGTGTAGTCATGGTGCGTGCGGAAGTGAATCCGTTACGACGGAGGCGGCCATGAGTTCTTTTGGGATTCAGTCTGCGCTTACTGATTGGATGCATTTCTGGAATGTACGCCAACGCTAAGCAGTGCTTGCTATGTAAGCTCTGACCCCGCCATCCGATTGCAAAATTTCGGACCAACGGCGGAACTTTGCCGCGATAGCTGTTGCAATGCTCTGCGTGGTCCGTCCTGTTCTCTGACGTCACCTGACCGTCATCACGGCCGCTGCCACCGGCCGCAGGCGATCCCAATCAGGGACAAAAAGCGGACGTCTAAAGCGCTCGAACACACACCGCCACAGCTGGGCGAATTGGAAGGCAGGTGTTCTAACTCGCTGAGCTATCAAGACGGGCTGCGGTACGTGTCAGGACGGGACGGTTGGAAGAACAGTTCGGCGGTAACAGTGAGCGGTGTCCCATCTGGATTCACCGCCCCAAAGGTGTCTAGGAATGCGATCAACACATTTTGCGTGGTGCGCTCCAGAGTGGAAGAAATGCTGGGGTGGTGTTGATCGATTTTGCGAACGAACCTGACCGTGGCCACAGCCTCCAAACGCCGAGTTTTCTCAATGTAACCAACACTTTCTTGATGATGTCATTAAGCACTTCCTTCTTATATACTAAATGTTGGTTATTTTCAATATGAAAGCTCAATGCATTGATTGCTTAGTTAAGCTTCCAATGTGTGCCAAAGCGTTGGTGGCGCAATTTTTTCGTTGGCGACCGGTCCGGTCATCAGGCTTTAGCTCATCTGTCCCTCCAATAATCAACATGTCTGGTGAGAAGGTCGTGCAAGCTCAATTTCACTCTTAGATTGGTACACCCTGCTAATCCACGCGAATAATTTTCCTTGGTCTCTTTTCTGCACGTGTCAGCCACCGTCATTCTGAATAACTCTGTGCTTTTGCGCCCCGGGCCAGCTCAGTTGAGAGCAAACAACACTTTTTTGCCTTATCATAACCGATTGATTCGCTCAGATGTTTTGTTGTGAATTACACCCTATTCGAAGTTTTCTTTAAACAAAAATGCATCTTCACATTGGCTTGAAACGACAAAAGCAGCGGCAAAGTAATTTTGAAGTCAACCATTGTCCGAGTTTTGTGCTCAGTCTCGACATCGAGGTTGCACATCAAAGTGGCGGAAATCCGGGAAGAAATCAGGTTCTTAGGGTCAGGCTACATCAAATTCATCGGCTCAGTCCCCACCCAATCGATCTCATAAAATGACACCCCTGCTCCCCATCCTCCTCGCCAGCTCCATGGCGGAGGCTCCTCCCGTCCCAGAGATCCAGCAGCTTGAACATAAGGACATGCTGGAGGGTGCTTCTCTGAATGGGAGGTGGGCGATGGGCAACCTCTCCAGCTTGGTAAGCTTGGTCAGGGTGAAGCTTGTTCTGGCTCTCGTGCCGACAGCCATTCCTAAAAATTCCCACTTTTGTGCTTTAAAGCCAGTTTTGCGTTACTCACAAGGGAACTTGTACCCACCATATTTGTGGATGGATTTCTGAACGGCATGTACTGCAGTCAACCAACACGCAAAGAAAACTGGGTGACAGTAGTGTGGGACAATTTGCATAAGCACTGAAACTTACGAGCTCCGTTTGGGATGCAGTGAGCGGTTGAATACGTGCTCATTTGTGATCCTCAAGTGTCTCCTTCGTTTTGTGAACCTCGAAGGGTGCAGACCTGTGTTTTATTGACGCCATAACCGTTCCCAAACACTTTGCAAAAGGGTTGTACACACGAAAGATATGGTAATTCGCCCAGGCATGTCACAAACATACCCGAAACATCTGTTCCGCATTCGTTTCATGTCTACGACTACGGTGAAACAAAGTCTCATGGTCTCATAGGCCTGAACCCTATTTTGATGACGTGGTTTCTTCATACACTTGGCTGAATTATTACGAGGTGCTTTACTCAAGTGCTAGAGATTTCGATCACTGAGAAATGTGTCCCGAACTGGCCAAGTGGGTCGCGCCAGGTGAACAGCCCCTGGAGGACGCGAAATCGCCTGGACGTTCTTGCCATTGCCACAGATGAAAGCAAGTTTTCCAGGACGTTGACCTATAACTGAAGAGAACACAGTCTGAACTTTCCGAACTGGTCCTTTCCCAAAATGAAAATCCTTGACTATTTTTACAACCGACGCAAAACGTGAGTTTCTTGCCGAAATACTAAGAAACGGCGAAAATCGCCAAATTTTCCGATTGAAAGTGGGTAGCCAAAAGCCGTTTTGCAAAGGGAGAAAGCTTTATGGCTGCTTATGCATTCATCAAAACACATAAAGACAAAATTGCTTGATTCCAACAAAAGGCACCCTTCAATTTTTCACCACAACCTATCGTACAGCTCTACGGAAATTATTCCAACTTAAAAGACTTCGTTAAGCACTCCAGCTGAGAGATGCATAGTCGTTACGGCTATTAGCGCCCATAAGCTTAGCAAAATTGGTCGAGGCTTATCGAACGGTGCTACAACTGCTAAAAAATGCTAGGTGGCTCGTGTGATACCGGGTGGAGGACGGGGGAGGGGACTGGCAGACCCTTAATAGTATTACAAAAAGCAGTATCGAGCTAACAGGTTAACGACGATTGGTTTCAGTTAAGAAAAATGTCACGTGCGGAAAGATCTGAGCCGTCAGATCAGTGTATTTGTTCACCCATGATATCCGGGATGCGTCCAATGTGCCAATGTCCGTGCGTTGTTTCATGTTACGTGACTGCCGGCCCCTAATATTGGCCACTAATGCACGGCAAATGCAGATCGAAGCGTTCAAACCACCCATGGACAGCTCCCATTCTCCTCAGCCAGTAACACGTAACACCAGGCCCGTAGCACCAGACGGACGGCCAGCTGACTACCTGCCGGCACGTGCCGCAGCTCCCGGCGTCGCCGCCTGCCCGCGGCCAGCGGCTGCGCATGCACGAGGCCAGCGATCCGGACCTGGGCGTGGTGATCCACGTGCAAAGCCACCTGCTGCCCGTGGCACCCAGCCCGCTCGACCCCGTGCCGCCGCTGCACGTGCAGCTGGGCGCGTGCAAGGCCCTGCTGCGGCACGTGGCGGCCGCGGGAAAAACGAGGGACGCGATGTTGCTGAGCAACCTCGAGAAAACAGGTGAGCTGTGCAGCTGTGGCCCACTATTGATTCTCGGCAGTCGCCACCGGTAATTGGATGTTGGAAGCAGAAAACTAAACCGCTAGAACCTGAAATCATTGCGTCCTTCTGACGAGAACAAGTTGCGCAACTATTTGTATTCAATCACGACCACCGGTTCGTTCTGGATTGTACGGTTTGACTCGGCGTAACGAGTTGGGAGTTCTTAGAGCTATTGATCTTCCATATACCAGGAACTACTGGTAACGACGATACATGACATACATTGGTTGCATTGACAGTACTTGACGTTTTAAGCTGCGCTAATGGTTACTCGCGAGCATAGTCCTAACTGAAAACGTGGAGTACTGTTAAAATTACCATTGTTTGCCCTATAACGTCGTCTAGCCGGCTTTTCTGGTATACGCAAGATCGATAGCTCAGCATCAAAGCTTTCAGTTCATAATGCCGAAAACCCAAGACCTAAGGGTCTTCCTTTCTGAAATCGTTTTCATTTCGTCTTTATGTTATGACAGAAACTGTGTACAGTTTATACGCTATTCTCAAATTTGTCGTAAATTGTTGTGGGCATTCTAAAGGCAGTAGACATCGATGTCCAACGCCTGTAGCCGGCACCCATTTGCACCACCAATGGCCGCTTCTGTCCCCAACCACATCTCACATATGCATGCTGTCGGTGCCGGCGGCCGCAGAGCCGTTCCCGTTCCTGCTGTACTACACGGTGCGGAAGGCGGGCCGGGCGGTGCAGGAGGCGCTCTCAGAGATCCGCCACGGCGTGCGCACCACCTTCTCACCCCTGCAGACCACACACGTGGCCCAGCACACGGTCAAGCTGTACGAGGAGGTGGCCACCATTGCGCGGCCGCCACTCAGTGAGCACAACCGGGTTTGGGTTTGCTTGTGTGTGTGCTGTCAGTGTCAGGTGCTCTGTGCCCGCAGTATCAGTGGGTTTTTAGACCACCATGAATGCTGATTGTTTCAAAAACATCGGATTGCATGGACGCATATCAGTGATATACAGTATGAATTTGAGTTGCGTGGACGTATGTCAGTGATATACAGCATCAATTTGAGTTGCGTGGGCGTATCTTAGTGATATACAGCATGACATTGAGTTGTGTGGGCGTATGCCAGTGAAAAGCAGCATAACACTGAGTGGCATGGGCGCATATCAGTGATATACAGTGCGACATTGAGTACCGTGGGCCTTTATCGTATATCTGTGGGGAGCATTGCCGCCCGCTAAAGATTTATCCTTTCGTCAATACCTTTGGGACTGGATTTAAAGATGGATAGTAAAATCACGTCATGTGTTAAGGCACACTCCGCCATATATAGGTTTGTTCATCGTCGAGCCTCCTGTATGTAAATTCTCAAGTAGATTTCTACATGACAGTCTCACACCACATCACGCCAACCGACCTCTCTGGCTCTCCTGACCAGCCTTTCTGGCTCTCCTGACCAGCCTCTCTGGCTCTCCTGACCAGCCTCTCTGGCTCTCCTGACCAGCCTCTCTGCTCTCCTGACCAGCCTCTCCTGACCAGCCTCTCTGGCTCTCCTGACCAGCCTCTCTGGCTCTCCTCACAGCCTCTTTGGCCCTCCTGACCAGCCTCTCTGGCTCTTCTGACCAGCCTCTCTGGCTCTCCTCACAGCCTCTCTGGCTTTCCTGACCAGCCTCCCTAGCTCTCCTCGCCAGCCTCTCTGGCTCTCCTGACCAGCTTCCCTGGCTCTCCTCGCCAGCCTCTCTGGCTCCCCTCACAGCCTCTCTGGCTCTCCTCACAGCCTCTCTGGCTCTCCTCGCCAGCCTCTCTGGCTCTCCTGACCAACCTCTCTGGTTCTCCTCGCCAGCCTCTCTGGCTCTCCTGACCAGCTTCCCTGGCTCTCCTCGCCAGCCTCTCTGGTTCTCCTCGCCAGCCTCTCTGGCTCTCCTGACCAGCCTCCCTGGCTCTCCTGACCAGCTTCCCTGGCTCTCCTCGCCAGCCTCTCTGGCTCTCCTGACCAGCTTCCCTGGCTCTCCTCGCCAGCCTCTCTGGCTCTCCTGACCAGCCTCTCTGGCTCTCCTGACCAGCTTCCCTGGCTCTCCTCGCCAGCCTCTCTGGTTCTCCTCGCCAGCCTCTCTGGCTCTCCTGACCAGCTTCCCTGGCTCTCCTCGCCAGCCTCTCTGGTTCTCCTCAGCAGCCTCTCTGGCCCTCTCGCCTGAAGCGTGGCGACCTGGCCACTGCCCCCAGACGACCAGCGGCGTCCGACCAGCGACCGGACGGGTTACATCATCTCCGTGTTCCGCGTGATGGAGGGAGACGACCGGCAGAACTTCGAGCGAGACTGGCCCAGCTGGACCGGTGAGGAGTGTAGGACTGCCGGGGGGGGGGGTGGGGGGGGGGGGGAGAAGAGGGCCGTGGTTCAGCCGGCGAAGGTCCACCGCCCGACGGAACGCCGAACCAGCCTCTGACAGGCTCGCGCCGCCTCCTGGCCGGTGGCGAAGAGACGATGAATCTAGTTTTTGCGAACCTTGCTCCCCGTATGCCGCGGTTGACACAGACTGTGGTATCGCACTGCCTCTGCGTTTCCGGATTTATGTGTAAGTCCATGAGTTCCTCTTGCATCTTCCTGCACCAGTTGCAACATACAGTTCACCTTATTTCTCTCTCTCTCTCTCGCTCCTCTACTCTCTCTCTTCTCTCTCTCTCTCTCCTTCCTCTCCTCTCTCTCTCTCTCTCTCTCTCTCTTCTCTCTCTCTCCTCCTCTCTCTCTCTCCTCCTCATCTCTCTTCTCCTTCTCTCTCTCTCTCTCTCTCTCTCTCTCCTCTCTCTCTCCTCTCTCTCCTCCTCTCTCATCTCTCTCTCTCTCTTTGCCATCTCTCTCTCTCTATCCTATTCAGTTGTTCTATCTAAGTGTTTTCATCCCTCCTATGCCCGCAATAATGTAATGTACATACCTGTCAGAGTCGTCGCACCGCAGTGTGACAATAAGCTTGGTTATCGCTGCTTTGCCGGTAGCAAACAAAATCGCACAAAGCAGCGATAGCCAGCCTTCTAACGCCCGGTACTTCTTCCCTGGCCATTACCGCTGTTGGGTATCTGAGCCTTCAATTATTCCGGCTCCATTACCGCGGTAAACTCCCAGTGGGTTACATCTATAGACAAGGATGACAAAAACGCATCTCCAGAGGAATGATGTGGAGGGTTGCTGGGGAGACGTACAATCACTGCGCATTTTGGTGTGTTAAATGTGTACGCGTACAGACTAGACGAAAATAGACGTCGTCACCCCAAAACTCGAAGTAGAGACGTAAAAATAGGAGGCTGACGCAATGACATGATGTCCTACGCCCCGTGAAACCTTTTACGCGCCGGCGGCACGCTAAAATGTCTTTTCCATGGATAATTTGAGTTGAGCCACCCATTGCACACGTCCCTGGCTGCAGAGTTACCTGCAGACTCTCTAGCAGGCTGGGTGCCCCGATATAGTCAAACTTGCAGCAGGACCTACTCACTAGAGTCGCCAGTCTTCACAGAGGGGGCCGCTCGCTGTGCTGCATGCCTCTCCCCAGAACGCTACTTCTCCTGCCAGGAGCCCGGCTGCTGTGCATCAGCAGCCCGCGCGTGGAGCCCCTACAGAGCCCTCTGTTCCCCCAGGCGCCCGGACTCTGTACCGGAGCATTCCGAAACGAGCCGGCCTGCGGCGCATGGTGCTGCACAAGTCGTGCGACGGTGGCGACATCTACTACGTGCTGTGCTGCGAGTGCAGCCGTCTGCTGGACGACGTGGTGGCCACGGTGCAGTCGCTGCCAGCGTTGCGCGCCCGCCTCATCGGCTACACCGGCGTCTACAAGCCCATGGCCGTGTCCTGAGACGGCACGACCGGAGTCAAAACAGTGCGCCGTGGTGGACTGGCAAATGTCGACTGCGTGTCTGGGACCGATGAGGCAGCGAGACAAGGATGACCGTGTTGGCAGGGTGCAGCAGGAGCGGCCAGGCCATGTCCTGAAACATTGCGACTTAACCCAGTCCATACCGTGCCGAGGTGCTCGAACGGTCGTGGCGGTGTCTCAAGAAAGGACTACTTCCCTACTGAAGCACGTGCGGGAGTGCTAAAAATCTACAATCCAATGTTACTGGGCCCTGATGCTTTCATACCAGTGGTACATGCATTCTGGTGTAGCATCACGCACATATAAAAACGTAAAGGAGTTCAGTGATAGTGCATCCAGTCCGTCTGACGTCTGAAGATGACCTGGTTCTCCGATCGGCGGCCGACCCGGCGAGCCAGAGCAACCACTGGAGCTCCGCAGTGTCCCGCAGCCCCCAGATGTAGCCTGGCGGCGTTCAGACACATCACGCCGCGGAGCGCCGTTATCTCGCCGAAGTGATCCCAATGATGCCATACTTTACCATCACTCTGAGATGCCTGCCGAGAGCAACACAGCCCGGTGATGGGGCGTTTGCGTTGTGACCGGCACGTCGCTAACTCGAGACGCATCCCGCGCGTTCTCTGGCCTCCTCAGTCATTAGAGCGAGCTGCGACGCCGGCGACGCCTGCGGCCAAGCCCATCGTAGAAGTTCATAAGGTGGTGTCTGTCATGATGCGCGATGGTCGCACACGTCACACCGTCATACCGTTGCGCCACGGCCGGCGCGTTCAATATAGTGGCTCACTGAAGTAGCGCCAACGAAGTTCTTGATTCCAGTAAACTCAAACAACTATGAGTTGCTATTAGTGATCAAGACTACCCACAGGTATGAATTTCCCGTAGGACTGATACTGAGCACAACTCCAATGCGCATCTAGGCGACAATCCGTGTATATTTAGTGAATTAATCTGGATAATGAGATAATGATACGATATTGATACGCTCCATCCTAACACTTCGCAAACGCAAGACGCTCGCGAGTCCTCCACCCCGCAAACCCTTACCCACGAGTACCTGGTCAGTATATTTCCATAGCCACCACGTCCATCCGTACCTGACAATCAACAGGGCCCGGTCTGCGCGGCACGAACCGGGTCCGGTCCCTCCCCGTCCGTCCCGAGTGGGCTGGCGGGCGCACGCGAGAGCTGTGACACACGGCGCGCGCCACCGCGCGGCGATTGCGGCGCGGTGCGCACGGCCGTCCGGCCTGCGCGCGTCACGTCCCGCTGGCGGGAGTCGACAAACATCCGGCGCCGGCGGCCTGTCGGGAGCGGCGGCACCGCCCGGCCGGACAGCGCGAGCCGCGCACGCCGCAACAGAACGCACGCGTCCGGAGGAGAAACGCCGCGCCGCACGCCCGGCCGTACAGCGGGGAATAAATAGAGAGGACCGCACATGTATAGTGGATTAGTACAAAGAATAGCTTTACGCGGCTCCGGCTGCGGCATCACAACGGCATTTCAAATCACAGCGCGATGGAAGACGGAGCGACGTCTATCGTAGAAGCTCCTTGATCTCGGCCTTCTCGGCAGCGTCCAGGTAGCTCGTGCCGTCCGGGGTGGAGCCCGTCTTGGAAGCACCCTGGCGGACCGGGCGTAAGGTCACCGTCGCACGACGGCGGGTCGCACAAGGCCAGACGTGGAGACACACCCGGGGTACAGGCCGATTCAGGCGGTAGTCCACCGGTCAGCAGAGAACATGGAATGCAGTTGGTGTAGATACTGCAGGCCCAACAGAATCTAGCAACGTCTAGTGCCCTGCACCGCAAGTTGCAGACTGTACCCGGCCAGCGGGGAGCGCTGACAGTTACCGTGGTGGGGCATTATGCACGCCACAACAATGAGTGTTTGTCCGGCATCGACACACACGGTAATTACGCACCATTGTGTAAATGACAAAGAAATCCAGACGTTCATTCCAAAGCATGCGACTCATAAAAGAATGGACAATGCACGTCTAAAGTGGAACGCGACAATGCGGCCCTAAATGAGAGCGCCGGCAGGGCGTCACCCACCTTTTTAAGCATCAGCTTCACGCAATCGGTGTGGCCCTCCCAGATGGCGGCCAATATGACCGATATGCCGTGCTTATCCGTGACCTGGAGACAAGGATCGTGGAAAGTCACGGCATTCGGAGACAACGCGAGAAATGAGGGTATTGAGGAGGTGAAGCCAGCTTTGTATGCTGTCGTGGAAACCAACTGTGGTCAATGTTAAACACCAGTTATCACTGCGCACACATGACACCGAAAAGTGCACCAGCCATGCGAGCACAGCATGAACAAATCGCTTTAGCGCTAATTTGACGAAATATACATTTTTACCGAAATGCAGCATCATGAAATATAATACTATACATTACGCAATATTTTGGTCACACGGCCTTCAAGAAATAGATTTACTCTAGCTGAACACAAGTAGGCCTACGCCATCTCCGTTGCACAAGAACAATTCGCTAGTAGTGAGTAGCGACTCAGAGACACATTCCGTGCGAATCCATCCTTAAACTGTAAACTTTGAACTCTTACAGCCCGCATTAGAGAGGTGTTCAACATTTTTATGATGTTTTGAACTAAAAGAGCCATCTCGAAGACCTTTCGGCGATGCTCACAATCCTGCCCCTCTAGTTTCTGAACTACACACCCGCGAAAATGGGGAAAGGTATAACGGGGAGAGTATTTCGAAGTCACCTTGGCATTTATGACGTCATCATAACGTCATTCAAATCCCGACATTCCATAAACCATGAGACGATCAAGGCCGATAAAATGCAATTGTCGAGGAGTTCCTATGAGAGCGATTTGACCGCGATTTCCAGATATAACGGCCATAAATTAGCTTTCAATCAATGTTGTGCGGGATACGGTCAATGACGCATCGAGGAGCGTATTTATTAGGCAGAGAATTCTGCTGTCAAGAGTCGTCTTTTCAGTTTGAAAAGCATACCAATAGTTATAAGTGAGCTTGCATCATCATAACTCATGCTTGCTTCAATGTCTTCAAATGAGAAACATCCCCTTCGAGCACACGTAATGTGGATACGTACAGGACAGCTACATTCCGACCAGAAGACGCCCTCATTTTAACAAAACCCTGTCTGTTTCAATGTCACTCAGACCGTTCAAGCCACTCCCAACCGTACCGCTCCTTACGGCGCTTCGCCAGAGTTAGTGAGCCAAATGGCTCAAGAGCACGGTGTAACTAGCAGTAATGGTTCAAACGTGTGCCGCCTTGGTTACCATACAGACCCGTACGGACGCCGCAGGCGGCCGACCAAAAAAAAAACTCCGAGCGCGATCTCGCACACCTTTGTTTACAGATCTGGCACTGCAGCCTTATCAAGAGCGCCCGGAGAGCCATGGCCACGGACCATGACGCATTGAAGAGCCTGCGCGCGGCGTTGGAGACAATGCCCGGAGCTCATGTGCCGGCAGCCACCCGTTCGTTCAAATCCGAGCTGCAGAATTACTTTTGACAAGTGTTATGCTAAGAGTAGCATGAGCATGCCACATACAACTGCATTTATTTACGCATCGTAGCTGAACTAGCTACCTTGAAACAACTAATGTTCCCACACAAGTTGCCAAGCGCCACTAGTGTCTGGTGCTCGAGGCACGCGCAGTCCACCACTACATGCGCGCCGCTCCCACCGGTCGCACTCACGTTCAGGTCGGCGCCCCTGTTGAGCAGGTACTCGAGGACCTCCAGCTGCCCGTAGTCCGCGGCGTAATGGATCGGACTACGGCCGTCGATCGCCTGGTTCACGTCCACGTTCTGGGGACGCCACACGCGGTCAGGGATCGCGACGACGCCGGGCGAGCCAACACGACTATCACAGGGATGGCTGTCACAGATGGATGGCTGTCACGGATGGATGGCTGTCACGGATGGATGGCTGTCACGGATGGATGGCTGTCACGGGAATGGCTGTCACGGATGGATGGCTGTCACGGATGGATGGCTGTCACGGATGGATGGCTGTCACGGGATGGCTGCCACGGGGATGGCTATCACGGATGGATGGCTGTCACGGGATGGCTGTCACGGATGGATGGCTGTCACGGATGGATGGCTGTCACGGATGGATGGCTGTCACGGATGGATGGCTGTCACGGATGGATGGCTGTCACGGGATGGCTGCCACGGTGATGGCTGTCCCGGATGGCTGTCTGTCACGGGAATGGCTTCACGGATGGATGGCTGTCATAGGAATGGCTGTCACGGATGGATGGCTGTCACAAGGATGGCTGTCACGGATGAATGGCTGCCACGGGAATAGCTGTCACGGGTGGATGACTGTCACGGGGATGGCTGGCACGGACCGTTCCCGCCGCCAAGCACAGACAGCCACTCAGCAGCAGACAGGCCTCCTCAGGTCAAGCTCGCACATTCGGAAGTTATGCTGACCTGAAGCGAATCGTATCAGAACAGTCTGTCAAATGACACCGATGCTCGCACAGCAGACATCTCATGGAGATCAGTCAAACTGACACTGCTAGGAAAATCCCAACCGTGAAGGGTCGGGGCAGAATGGTCATGCATGTTGTTTACTAATCCTCTAAAAAACCTGCCAAAATCGGTCTACTTCTCTTTTCATGAAAAGTCTTCTTTTCTCCTTTATCTCTTTTGTCATGGGAAGCTTTCTGATCTTCTTCATCCCCTTTTTCATAGAAAACAAATGGGAAGTTCTGACTCTAAGGAACATCTGTCAGCCCAAATGAAAAGAGAATATCAATTATGGTCAATTTTTCATTGTCTTTGACCATAGCACTGCCAGCGAAAGTCTCAGCAAGTGGAATCCACCTCTAATTAGGTTTGCTGCCACAGCCAAAGTCCTGCAAATTGTTTACAATGTACAGAGAGAATGTCCTGGTGAAACCGGTACAACTTTACGCAACCAAACTCATAAACACATTTGTGGCAGGCCCAAACCCTAGCGAGCTTCACCGGCTTCATCCATTCCGCGCAATGGTGAAGAGGAGTCGGTACAACTCCCTGCCGATTCCCAGCAGATTTGTGCCATGCTGGTAGGTCAAAGGTGAGGCAGTACATCTGTAAGTGGCTTTACAGCCTTCCTCTGGTACTTTTACAAAAGTGATGGCCTGGTAAATTGCATCTAGGGACATCAAATTATGAAATAATAAACCCATCAAGGTTGTCTTCATGTAGCCTGATTTGTCACCTAGTACACTCATATGTGTCAATATGGAGAACCATTTAATTCAGTGAGGTAATGCCAGATCACCTCACTGGGTGTCACTCCATGATAGCACACAAACTCAACCTTACACAACTTCAGACTTCCACATTTGATGGTTGATGACATTGGTACAATGGTATCACAATTCTTCTCAACACAACTTTGAGCAGCTTTGAAAATCTGGTCTGATAAGGCTTCGACTTTGAATGATCAATGCCAATTTTCATTACATTTTCTTGCTATAAAATTTAATCAAGAAAAATTGCAAGTTTGCAAGCTGGTTTACAGATTTGATCTGAAGAACATTAGCTTGGAGATCCATGCCCTAAAAGGGGCCTTTATTTTTGAAACTCATTTGATCTGCAATTTTCTTAAATTATGAAGTGTTCTTAAAGCTGCTTCCAACAGTAACATTGCCATATGTTTTCTCTTAAGGACACAAATGTGCCATTTTCAATCAACTTTGGCAATCATGGGAGAGGCCAAGACCTGGGTGGCAGCTCCTCTTGACATGCTTGTGCCTCTAGTCTTCCTGCATCAAAACATGCTGCAGCTTTTACCAAAAAGAGGAATGATCTGCTATGACAGTGTGTGCTGTAGCCACAAAGACCTGAACAGCTACAGAACAGTAATAGTAATAGTACCTGAACAGTAGCAGTAACAAAAATATGCCTCACCTTTGATTCTACCAATTCCTTGACCTGCTCCAGGTCTCCATTTTTGATGCCCCATACAAGTGCACTCATTTTGTCTTTAGGCTGAAAGATAAAAATCCACAGATTAACAAAGTAGAAAACAACACCTTTTCCCATGGATTGCTGTCTTGCAAATGACATTTCCACAACTTGAAATCAAACAAAAACAACACTACACAAATAAAAAGGTGCATGCAAATGCTGACATGCAGTAGTGGTTCCAGCACACAGAACATGACATATATTCAATGTGCTTATAAAATCAGCAAACCATCAATGTGAAAAACAAATTCTAGACAAATTATTACCAATCAAACACAGTTTGACATACAATTTTAAGTCAAAATATCATTCTGAATATCCTGAAAAGATGACCAATCTGAATATCTGCTCAAAAACTGTCTCACTCTATCTCCAACCAATAAGGAAAGTTGATAAAATGTTTAATTTGCTATACAGGCATGTTGGCTTTAACATTAAATATTATGCTCCTTTTCTTGAACCCTGGAGAACATAAAAACTGCACCGTGATTGTTATAATAGACATGAGATACAAAACACAATTCTCTATGTTTTACTACAATGTAGAACACTGCTATAAAACATGTATTTTTAAACAAAATTATTGTACTCTATGAACAAGGTGTTATGAAGCATGGGATATGAATCAAACATGACAGACACAACATACAACATGTCATGAAAAAGCGATCCTCCCAGTGTCAATAAATAAACATATTGGAAACATTATGTAAAGGCTAACAACACAAGCACATAAAATTGCATTAACACAAAACCAGTCCAAGCATGATATAATGATAGCTCCAAACACTCAATGTGTAATATGTGTACACTGAAATGTTTGCAGCAATGTTTACTACTATGCAGGACATGTTCAGGGTAACAAGTAACTTTAGTAGTCTGGCCTTCAACCTGGTTTTCATACAACAAAGAAATTACACAGATCACACCCATGTGCAAAAAAAACGATAAAGTTACCACTTCCTACAGAACCAACATTACAGTACTGTTTGGGAGTCCTCTGCATCTTATTTGTTTCCATCCAACACGACAGGGTTTACTAACGCCTGACTTAGAGAAAGGCCACCCTGTTTATTACCCCCAGTGCAACTCCGCCGTCTTATCACGACCAGTTCGGCACCTTTTCAGATGCCATATTATACGCGATTTCTCACCCTTATAAGCACGAATGTCAGTGCAAATTTGCTATGCAGAGAATACACAAAAGACTGCGATAATAGAACCAGCCGCCCGGCCCGGCCACCAGCAGCCTCAGGACAGCGGCTACGCCCAGCGCAAATCGTCACTCATGCGCAAAGCTTGTAGCACACAGGATTCACCATATTTGTATCTGATGCGCGATTTTGAGGCATGCTGTCATAGAATCATATCGTCATTTTCATATGTATTTTATCCATGGTCATATTCATATAATGTTTTCATGCAACAGTCCCATAGCTTAACATGCGTTCAGCAGGGATGTAGTAAATCTTAAACAGGGATAGACGGCCCCTTAGATTCCCATCAAATATGGTGCAGTGATAGTGCAAGTAGGGCTGAGCTAAAAATGGCAATTTTGCTAGCGGGAATCTCATGTGACACGTTTCCAGTGGCACAGGTAGAGGGCGCAGGGACGATGTGTCAAGCTTATGTCCCGAGAGGCACTCTGGACTTCTCTGGACTGATGACTGGGGGCCCGGAGGGCTGGCCGGAGGTCTGGTTCTGTCCCGCACGGCCGGACCCACAAATGGCAGTCAGAAGGCCCTTGGCGCCGATTAGGGCACCCTGAGTCAATGAGAGTCTCTACGTCGGTCAGGTATTGCTAGTACCGAACAGTCAGCGCCGTAACGGCTTTAGCCTGAGGGTCCATTTCTAAGCAGGGACATGGCCGGGGCCCGCGATTTACATTCGTCAGGATCCCTGAGTCGATGAAGGCCCTCTGTGTCAGCCAGGGGTCAACAGTGACGAAAAGAAGTTTTGTGTTGACAGGAGGCCCCGAGTCGGCCATGGGCGGCGTTCGAGGGGTCTGAAGAAGGGCCCGAAGGGCCCCAGCACCGAACGGGGGGGGGGGGAAGCTTGCCACCCCACTTCAGCCAAGAGTCAGTTAAGACGAACTGAAGCCTCTGTGCCAATTATTGGAATTATTTGACCACCTGCGGTGGCAAAGATCGGAATATTACGAGGGCCTTCGTAGGTTATTTCCGCGTTGGGGAAGGAACCACTGTATGGGATATCCCCCCCCCCCCCCCCAGATCATGGCCCCCTGTGTCGCCAGGATGCAGCCAGTAGGCACCCCGCCCTGAGACGGAATGGCCCTTAGACCTTTCGCGGGAAACGATAATGCGCCCGCTTTTGTTCCACTCCCCGCCAAGGGGACCTTGCTTGGAAAAATGTAACGTGTCGCATAGGTGTTCAAAAGAGTGGATCGAAATTAAGTCAAAATGAAAAAGTCCAACCCGTGTTTGCCTGAGAAAGGCTAATTTTCTGCAGGAGCGGTCTGAAAAATATATTACATAGTTAGTATTAAACTGAAAGCACTAAATCGAATAGCATCATTTCAGATGTGCCACCGTTCCTTGTCCGCCAACTGGCTGCCGCCTAGTGTTAGCCACAAGGCCAACGTCACGTGCCCTATGGTGACAGTAACGCCGGGAGTGCGGATTTTCGTTTCTAAGACTTGCGAGGATTGTGTGTTCAAAACGGAGTCATATAATTTGCCTCACAAATGGATTCTGACTGAAGGATGACTTTCCAAACGAACATGGATCGGCTACTTAATACAACTGTGAGAACCCATTTCGATCTGCAGTCTATGTTGTCGGGACCGCAACAGTACTTTGAGATCAAGTGTGAGATTCATAGCTTTGATCTATGGGGAAGTTGCAAATTGGATTCATTGGTGTCACCCACTTGATTTCTTTAAGTATTTGTTACACCTTATTAAGGACCAGGTCAGCCAGGATCAAGTCCCCGTGCATATCACGCGGAAACTTTCGACAATCTAAAATGTATGGTACATTCTGCTTGAGTGTGATACTTATAGTTTTTGATCTATTAAAAATGAAAATGTTGGATCTATTGACAGTTTTTAGTAAATTCCTGGTCAGTGGAGTTATGGCCAAGTTTTGTCATCCTCTTTCACATTTGCTCACTTAACATTATTGTTTTTGCCTTGAGCAGTTACAGTTAGTACCAAAGACCACCAGTCCCGTTTGTTTTAAAGTGGTCCAAGCCTACAGCGCATGGGCCTCCTTGTCCCGCTCATACCTTCTCTTTACATACGCTGTAAACATCTCAAGACGTGTGACGACTCTGAGGGCTAAACTGAGTGAACGACGCGCAACAACGTCCGCCCGAATGCACTGTGCGAGACCGTTACACTGAAAAATCTGGAGAAATTGGCAGGCAAAATGCACAAAACCGTAGTTCTGTATTTATTACAAGCAAAGGCACCACCTTTCCTAAGCATGATCACATCATTACGAAAGGCAAAAACAGTGCCTTGAATACATCGTTCCGACGAAACGAAATCGTATCTTGCCCTGGCCCTTGCCATCGTTCCAGCGGTCATAGGGTCGCTTGTCCACTGACGTCATCAACCGTCGTCCAATCAGACGGCTTCTGCACACCTCGTGGTGCAGCTTTCAAACCACCATGACGGACAACCAATGACGTCACGGGACCTCGGGACTTAGCGGTCAAATCGTCAGGATGACCGTGCCTGGTACATAGGGTCTTAAGATTGCTGCGACGTCCGAGATTCATTGGCGTGTGTAATCCACGCCTTTCTGATGTGTAGGCTCACCATTTATGTACAAAAGCACATACAGAAGGACTACATTTCATCACAATGCATCAGGATGTCCTCCTTTATCTGACCATAGGTAAGGCATGGAGAAATACCACAACTGCGATTTACGTTCCACAGCCACAAAAGTAAGCGACATCTTGTCTTGCTGTGCCAACTGGGATAGATGAACAAAAGCACACCGACTTCTCACAGCGACGGTTACAAAAGTTTCAGATAGGGGCACGCATAAAGGCGCTATCACATACATATGCAACACTTGATCTAGGCACGCATACGTAGCGGGGAATGACGGTGGCGAAGACTTAGATGCACTGTGACGAGAAAAAACCAGATCACATATTGCTATGCTAAGCGAAATAAATTAACGCATTTCCTTCGACCATACGCTTCTTACAACCAGCAGAACCCGACTTATGTATAAGAACATAGATCATAGTTGCGTTATATTGCATTACACTACATAACCATGCCATGCTATACTGAGAACGTGTACATGTGCCACGGACCAGGGCCGTGACCGGGACTGACATGCACTGCTACAGAAGTGAACGCGATGGTGTCTCTCCGTGACATCTGAGACGGATCACACATGTTCACCGAACGATATTTCTCTAAACCAGGGCAGGCATTTCAATTTGTATATATTTGTACGGATGGACATATATATATATATATATATATATATATATATATATATATATATATATATAAACCGTAATACAAAACGATGGCCTAGTTCACCTGAGTATATATCACGAGGGCTGGGACTGATAAGAAGTCAACAGGATCAGGTGTTTTTATCCCGCCTGAGACAGGTCAACGCAGGTAAATGGACTAAAACCTTCTCACAACCAGGTTCACTCTTATCCAGTCAGCTGTTAACACCTTTGGTGTATATAACTGGGTATTAAGGCTTAATATGGGTCGGTGTCTTCACCCGTTCTTCTGCACCCCAGATCCGTTGTGAGCGCAGTGCCGCTTGTCCTGGGAATAGAAGAGGCAATTACTTGACGGGAAATAGTCTACGGACCACTCTCAATCAAGAGAAATGCATGGACACATGGGTCAGAACAAAAAGAGCTGACCCTTAACAGATTCAGATGTACCAAGCGAACGTAAGCAGAAATAACCTACCCCAACCCGCATACAGCTGTTCAGTGATGTTCCGGAGTTGCAGAGAGAAATGGAGAGAGGACGGAGTAGCAGATAACAGACTTCACATATAACAGAGAACAACACATAACAGATACAGGTAAACAGATAACAGACAGGGGACGGATAACAGACTTGCCAGCATAAAGTTAAAAGAAGACGGGCGCGACAGAGTCGGACCACTCAGATCTTAGCACAGAACCATAAGCGTACTAAATATGCAATCACGCGCCGTACTTTCCGTTAGCACTGCACATTTGCGGCCAATAATTTGAGGCAGTGCGCTGTAGACGATGCGAAAGTGACTGATTTTTAACTCTGGTGATGGACGCAAAATGACCCCGGCCTTCGGTGCGCGCTTATACCGCAATCACCACCGTCGAACTCAGCTAGGTGTTATAACCAGCATTGTCACGAAGCGGATGTCGTGGAAATAAGTGCTGCGTTGTGCAGACAGGATGTATCTGCCGCTTGCAACGAATTCATCATATTCCATAGGGGAGCCGGCAGACAGGTCCAATGCAGTCTGGACTTAGACGCGCTTCTTCCGAACAATAGCTCCAACGCGTCACCGGCTGCGCCACCGAGCCCGAGTGGCCCGCCGCGAAAGGCAGAACCAACCGGGTATCAAGAGTCAGATGCAGTGAAAGCACACGGACCGAAGGCAGTCGATGCAGTGAAAACGCAGTCCCCAAACGCATATTTTGAGGCAGCTCGACGACGATGGCGATTTTGAGGCAGCCTGAGCCCGACGATGATGATTACGGCATAAGCGCGCACCGACAGCCGAGGTCATTTTGCGTCCATCAGCTGAGATCAAAATAAGTCACTTTCGCATCGTCTACAGCACGCCGCCTCAAATTATGCGTTTTCTATATATATATATATATATATATATATATATATATATATATATATATATATATATATATGTATACATGTGTATATATGTACATATATATGGTTGTGATATATATATATATATATATATATATATATATATATATATACATACATACATATACAATATATATGGTTGTGATATATATATATATATATATATATATATATATATATCTATCTATCTATCTATCTATCTATCTATCTATCTATCTATCTATCTATCTATCTATCTATCTATCTATCTATCTATCTATCTATCTATCTATCTATCTATCTATATCTATATCTATCTATCTATCTATCTATCTACCTATCTATATCTATATCTATATCTATATCTCTCTCTCTTTATATATTTATATATGGGCATATGAAACCATGCTGAGCATTGCGGCACAGTCAACTTTTGCCACC